GTTCGTCCGGTTGTATCTTACATATCCGTTGTATGGTGGCAGAAGACTGTGCAAAAAACTGAAATCCTAAGCTCAAGAAATAAAAAAAAAGCGATGTAAAAAGAGATCTCTTTTGGCAGAAAGTTCCAAGTGAAAATCCCAGATCGCGAAGATTGGGCAAACGGACTCTCTGTGCTTGATCTCAGATACCTATATTGGTACGCGGCCGTGTCGAGGATGGATTACTGAGCAGGTGCAGGTGTCTATGGACCCGACACCAAACTATCCATTCCCATAGACAGTTGGCACCCGGCGTTTTAGGCTGAAATTTCAGCAATTCATACCTGCGTCAAACTTAACTCTGAAAAGAGTTTGAAGGGCGCTTTTCTTGTTAAATTTTGAGTTATCCTAGCTGCCATGCGGGCCCTCTAAAACAGGACGATGAAATCCAAACTTGTTAGAACCTAATTTAACATGCTTTAAATAAAGGCTGTAAAAATAAAGTAACTCTTTTCTGGGTACAGGGCCACAATGGGATAGAAGGCAACGAGGATGCTAACAAGTTGGCGCAAGAAATATCCTTAACACCCTTTTCATGATCGGAACCTTTCTAAGGCAACGCTTTCTGTCTACTGTTTCAATAGATCGGAACAGAAATGTCATCGGGCTACTTTACGGGTACCTTACGGCCACAATTAACTACGATTTCATATGCAGTGAATAGGTGTTATGAGAGAGCCGGAATGTGGACTCTGCCTTGGCAATAAGGAAACTTCCGAATACATTATTTGTGAGTGCCCAGATTTGGCTAGGCAAATATTAATTTATTTCAAAGCTCCAATGACCAATTATTTAGAAATAAAGAAATCGACTACCAAGGTCTTTTCAGGACATACTAGGGAAGTAGAGTGTTTTTTTTCTAATCTTTCCTGCTCTCAATATATAATAATGTTTTTCTCTGTGTATCTACCACAAGTTTCTTACAGAAATTTGCACCCTATTTATAGCAGTATGCAATCCAAAAGTACACTAAAGACTGCAGTTGTCGACATAAAAAAAATAGACAATCATAAAAAATAGAATAACGAATCGACCACAACCACTACAGCTACCAAGAAGAGTTAAAGAAAAAGATTTACAAGTCGCACGTTGAGTGGCAATGACAAAAAGGTCAAGTTTAGAATCACACTTGAATGCCACAATGTAGGCGATTATCGTAGACGTTGTGTGAACTAACTAAAAAGGAATATGAAAAGACGACAATTTTGTAAGTTTGTTAATTATCGCAAGAGCTTGTTGGTGTGTGAGCGTTTCATTATGCAGCCCATAGTTAGTTCTAGCCTTGTAACTAGCATCACAATGCTGACACTTTTTCATAAAATGTTTAATAAGTGCAGAAGTCTATTGTGGGCAGTCACGTACATGGGCGCACTTAACGGTACACATTTTAATATGTGTAGCGCTTACAAATATGTATGTGTCTTTTCCGGTTGTGGCAAGTTCCTTGAGTGCTCAAGTAAGGCAATTAATGATTGCAAACTTGCATGTAACAAGGAACTTTTAAGAAAACTAGTTGTCTCTTAGCTTTTAATGCGAACTTGGAAGGAGTTAGTTCTAAAGAAGATGGGAGAAATATAAATATTTTGCATACGTCCATTAGGCAGCATAACATACAAAAATTTGAACTGTTCCATCGGAATTGTTATATTAAAACTTCCGCCGAACCATTTTAAGATTTACGCCAGTCAGGGCAATTTAAAAATACCTAACAAAATCGTTTTTTTTTTTAATAAATAAAAGTTTTTAAAAAATATTTTTTCCAAAAATCGCCTGTGATATTAGAAGAGTTTAAGCTTAAAAGCTCTGCATAAAAATGTTTAAAACCTTTTCTTAGGCATCGAAATGAAGATATTTCTGGAAGTATTTTCGAATTAGACCAGGCGACGTAAATTTTAATGTTTTTGAAATATTTTATGGGGAAGTCTAAAGATATAATAAATAGTATAATTCCGGTGAAAAAATTTTTTTTTTTGCTGAGGCACCCTAATGTACATATGGTGAAATTGCTTGTGCTCCGACATGGATTACTTGATATGATCTTCGATTTACATACATATAAAGATAATAACAATACATCTATTTAGTAACTGCCATGGCAACGTGTACCTCTCTTCCTGCATCACCAACTCAAGCTAGCACTTTGACGGAAGACATCTGAGGCGATTTGTTAGATGTTGAGAATTTCGTAGAGAAGCTGAAGGCAATTACGATTCGGCCAAACAAAATTGTTTGGTTGTCAAGTAGATTACTTCAAAGTTTTCGTGATACTCGTACCTTTAATAAGCCCCCATTTTGTGATCTGATCAATACAAGTGCATTACAAGGATAATGCGCGCATATCTGACAAAAGCAGGCAGCCAATCGTATTGGATAGCACCCTTATAGAATATAATGATGCGGGTACGGCTGCTTCACAAGGGCATCGAGGAAACGAGATAGAGAACGTTTAGCCAAGAAGGCAGCGGTCTGAGGAATTTCTTTTAGTAGATCCAAACACGATCAGGAAAAATCACAGGAATGAAATGACAATACTGGGGAAGCACCTCACGACTCCAAGGGAGTACAACCGGAAGAGATACAGCCTTCTAATTAACCTGCCTAAGAGAAAAATGGATCGCAGGGCACTTGCGGACCAAGAGACCATCTGCATCAAATGACCTCTGTTGGTTTCGAAACTCAGCCTGTTCTTTGAGTGTGAGACCTCTGGAAGAGGACGATATAACTGTTTAAGCTCAATGTGGCAAAAATTCAAGCACATCACTCCCCAAGTAACTCCGTTCTAAAGGCTCCTCTAAATTTTCTTAGAACTTTAGAACAAGACGAGGTATTGTGAAGAGCAGAGTGCACAATAGATCCGCCAGGTATTTTTAGTATTATCACGCAAAAAGCCTTCCCAATGAAAAGAAAAACTAAGTCTCGGATGATGCCCCCTTCTTATGATGCCGTGAATTAAAATACAGCGGCTATGCTGGCTTGCTCATGTCGTACGAATGTAGCGAAACGCTCCAGTAAAACGCGGATCATAATGCTGGTAGCAGAGTAAGAGGAAAGCTACATCTGCGATGGAAAGACGACATTTCAAATTATTGCCTGTTGGCACAGAAGTGAAAAGAAATGCGTGCTTTGTTGGACTCGGCCAAAAACGCTTTGGCGGGTACAGCGCCAATCCAGGAGAAGAAGGAGCTACAGTAATTCATAAATTAATTAGGCTAAAAGTAACACGATAACTGAATATTGGACGATATATGTATAGTACTTACGATAATAAAAAAAAGTTGCCAACATGATGAACTAAGGAACATTAAACCAAAATAAAGGATTACATTTGAAATGTGAGCTGTTGATGCCTTCCCCTACCTCACTGAGAGACCATTCATTATAGATATTCAACTGTTTTTGCCTAACGCAAAATCTCCGCGAAAGATATGCTGAGCCATATAAAATACTTTTTACGAAGTATAAGAAATATCCTTATTTAAAATTTTAATTCATTTTCGTTTCCTACCAAATTTCGGTCACTTCAAATTTCTGCAAAATTCTACGTCTCCGCATGTCATTCTCATCGGTCGGTCGCACAACTTTGAAGGGCTTCAACAATACATTTTCCACAAAGGACTTGTGGAACTTGGTATGTGACGGCGGCGGCGACAACTCCAGCTCAGCCTCACTATCTGAGTCTTCAACGTCTGCATGCTCCATTTTATGTTCGCCAATATTATTATTCAATATTGCTGGTGAATCATCGAAATTCTCCAACGATTTATTGCGTAAATACGAAGAATCAATTGAAGTTGTGGACAATGAAAACTCATCCACTAAACGTTCAAAAGACTTTGCAATTTTTCGTTGGCCATTGCCCTTGTCGCCATTGTCCGTTACTTTGGCATGCGCATTGTTGGCATTTTTAATTTTCATCGCACCTGATGATGCATGCGGCAATGTATGCGAATTGCTTTGACTATTGTTTGCTTCAGAATTTTGTTGGCCTTTGCTGCACTGTGTGGGCGGCAGAAAAGTGCCCTTTGTCAGTGTTAGCAAATTGTTGTCTTCCGCATAGATCAGAAGGTTTTCTTTGTTCATTTCCAACTTCACCTCATCATTTGCAAGACGATAGCTGTTGTTGCGTTTCAGCGGGCGACGCTGCGTGGCCGTTGATGTAAATGGCAGTGGCAGTGCTGACTGTGTATTTCGAGGAGTGGTTGGAGGAGGGGGTGGAGTTGGTGGCGCTTGCGATTGCGATGGCGTTACGACTGCATCAGTCGAAATGGAAAACTGCCTCGTTGCTGCAATTGGGTCAACAGTTGCAGAAATCGATATTCGTTTACTACAGTTCGTAGTAGCGACTTGGCTAACGCCAAAATCAACATCATCGGCGGGCATACGGTTTGTGCCAGCACAGTCAGTAGGTGGGGATGTGTGTAGTGTTGGTGGCGGAGGTGGAGGCAGAAACGTGTGGCTGACGTTTGTTTGCGACGTCATGGCCGCAGACGAAAATGCATTGCGAGCATCTGCTATGCCATTTATTTGTGCTTTCCCCCTTGGCGGCAGTGGTGGTGGCATGTCCTTAGACGATGCGCGCATGGGGGCCATTGATTCTTGATTTTCCACCACCGCCTTGGGCACATCGTAGTGCGGTGGCTGCGCTAAGGGTTGGCTGTGCGGCTCACTTTCGGGTATTATAAATGAAACTTTGGATTCTGACTTTTCATCAGGTACACTAGAAATAGCAGCTACAGTCTGTGCGTTATTTATGGTTGGAGGTTTTTCTAGATTTTCGTCTATTTCCCTGAAATTGTCTATAACGTCTATCGTACTGTTCTGTAAGCGTTCGGTGTTATTTACATTGCTAGCTTTGGGATGTTGAATAGTATCTTTTGATGCAAAAGTAGAATGAGTTATGGTATTCTTACAAATATAATGCGTATTGGGGTTGCTGCCAGTATTGTCTAAATTTTGCTTACCTTCATCCTTGGCAGAGGAGGCACTCGAAGTGCCACTGCTGGTGTTGGTTGATGCGCTCGACGATATGGTGGAGCCCGTGGACGAAGTAGATTTGGTGGATGGTGAGGGCATCATCATCAGTGCTGTCGCCGGTGCTGCGGCCGTAATGATGTTCGATTGGAAAAATGGATTTGTATTGTTCGCGAGCAGATTCTTGTTGTCCTGATAATTGCTGCTGTACGCCAATGTGGAGCGAGGCTCTTCATACAAGCCAGACGACAATGACATATTCGAACGGTTATTGGCTGCCTGCCCGGTGTAATGTTGCGCCTGCTGAGACTGCTGTTGTCTGGCTAACGTTAGTGGTGATGATGCAACAATGGGACGCACATTGGCGATTTTTCTGGTCGCCGCTACACCACCATTTAGCAAAAGTAATTTGGCCGCTGTTGTTTTTGCCGACACGGAAGAATTCGCTTTCGCTGCGTTTGCACTTTCACTGCCTAGCTGGGACTGGGATTGGGACTGCAGCTGCGCCTGCTGTGCTGGCGGTGTGTGCGTTTGTGCGTTGACACTTGTAATTTCCGGCAGCGCACTTTCAGTTTCTTTTACATACGGTCCAGGTGCGAATGTTGTGTGCGCGCCTTTGCGTCGCTTCAGGCTGTCCGATTCGTAAATAATTTTACCCTGCGAATTTAGACGCACGCGAGCACCCTTGTGTTGCGTTAGCGGAGAGACTAGAGACTGCTCTCGTACTTCGCTAATTTCGGCATACATGGGCACGGCAGATTCAACAACCGATGAACTTTGTTGTGCGGATTCTGCGCACTGCGTTTGTTGTTGTGTCGCATTCGTCCCCAGCGTGGCTGCATTGCTATCGCTAGCAGTAATTTCATTGTTGACTGTTGCACTCAACGCTGCACTGCTGCTGTAAGCGCTGCTACCAACTTTACGCAAATGCTGGGGTAGTTCATTCAATGAAACGTACTCGGTGTCGCGCCTTCTGGCCGCCGCAGTCGCTGCAGCTGGCTCGTTGGCTTTCGTAGTTGCGTCGGCGGCGCAAGCAGATGCATCGTAGAACTTGCGACGAACTATGTCATTGGAATAGTAGATTCCAAGGGAGCTAGCACCTACGGCTTTCGCCGTTGGCAGTTGATTGTGCCGATTGTTGTTGCTAATGTCTGCTATGGTCACATATTCACCGGCAGTGTCGTATAGTTCGTCATCGTCAACCACGCACTCTGGCTGTGAGCTTTTACTGGGCGAACGCTTAATACTCGGCAATACGACTTTCAGTTTTTCGAACATATTAAATGCATAATTCGAATTTCGCTTCAGCACATTCAGGTTATGGTCTTTATCACCCTTTGTGGGGGTGAGTGGCGCTTCTACCACTTTGCGCGCTGCATTGTCGACATCAACAGTGCAATAGCCAGCAACTTCGTTTAATTCCACTTTAAGGGTGGTTTCTGCTCTCGCCCGTGCTTTCGAACATGGCGAGCTTTGTGGCGTTAAAGTTCGGTCTGGGTCGTAAGCGTCATCAGCGTCGCCGCCATCTTTACTTTGGTTCTCGTCATCGCTAGTGGTGGGCGTTATGATACACATGGACGGTATGCGTTTAACATTAATAGCAGTCTTCTGTTTAATGCGTTCAATACGTTCCACGCCCTCCAAATCGGAGCTTTCGGAGCATTCCACCTCAGACATAGCGACCATCGCCGGTAACGGCTGTGCGGAGCGACGACGTATGCGTTTTTCAAAATCAAATTCATCTTCTTGTGACTCGGGCGTTTCGAAGTTACCTTTGATGCCATCAATGTTTTCTCCATCGGCAGTGGTGTTTAATTTTAGACCAGCATTAACGTTGCGTTTTATGGTGCCAGTGCGTTCTAAGGTGCTTCCTATGGTGCTGCTGGAGTAACTGCGCTCAAGCGTGCTAGTGCTGGCGCTATTGCTGTGGTTATTCTTGTTCAACTTACCCAATGAGCTGATGCGTTCGGGCACATCCGGACCGACACTATTTAGGCTACTCTGCTCGCCACCCACCAGCAAGGTGGTGCAAACAGTGCCCGCTGAGCTGGTCGTGGTGGATGTTGAACCCTTGCCAAAGAGTTCATATTCGTTCTCAGCCGTCAACACGGTCTGGTTGGATTGACTCCCAAATGAGTAGTTGCTTGTGTGCAGCATTTGATTGTGTTGCAGCGGTGTCATGGGTGGATCTTCTTCTTTCAGCGTGCGCAAGCCGCTGTCCATGTGAAAGGAAGTATAATAGCCCTCCGTGTCACACGAATAAGCTGAGCTTGTTTCATCATCTAGATGATTGGGATATGAGCCATCGGCCACTTGCAAATCGGGCGTGGCAGTACCCTCACTAGTTACGCTGCTTGAGGCGGAAGTATTCAAGAAACGACGTCTGCTCATCATTGATGATGGCGGCCCGCTACCCGGATGGAAGCTTGACACATTCAGCGATGTATTTGAAGCGCTCGACTTAGGTTGTATAGTAATTTCGCTGCCTATAGATGCCCTACCCGATTCAGAGCTAGCGCTCCAATTACCACTAGATGAATGCGGTTGTTCCTCTTTGCCGGCCAGCGCACCATTGCCGGTGATACCAAGTCGCCGTTGACGATTCAACGATGAGGTATCACGCAGCTTTACGTTACCACAGGTGGCCAGATGCAGTTTACCTTTGAGGTGCCCACTGCTGCTAACACTCATGCTCTTCTCCGACGACGAATATGACGGTTTTCGTTCATGCGAAAACCGACCTTCGTTCTTCTGGCTCACCAGTTCATGCACAACGCATTCATCATCAATGTCGCCCGTGGCGGTGCGCGTTGATTGATTTGCCTTCGCTGGACTGGCTGCGGCATTATTACCACCGCTCGTCTCCACTTTCTCGGGGGCGACAGGCGGTTGCTGTGAATTACTGCTGCTGCTGCTCGCCGACACATCGTGGGCGCCACTATCGCTGGCCGATTGGGCTGGTGTCTCTGCGCGTTGCATAAATTTGAAGCGATTTCTGCCCCATTGTTTAAGCGAATTTAGGCGTGTCAATGTACTCTTCCCCTTATCGTAGGGCAAGGCAACAGCATCTTTTTTTAAGATATCGCTCGATTTGCTGCGCCCGAACTTTTTCGATTTATCGCTACGACGCACATCCTCCTCAGTACCAATTGCAGTGGCGTCGGCGTTGACGTTGGCTCCTATGGGGACGTTTTTTCCGGCGGCATTTAATGAGTTTTTAATCTCACCGCTTGTTGCTGTCGAGTCACTATATTGGAAAATTAATTTTTTTTTCGATCGACGAACGAAAAGCGAACCAAAAAAGTGTGGAAAAAGAAAAATAATGTTTGGTTTTTGTTAGTTTTTTTGTTTAAAAGAAATGAGCTCAGCGGCATGTTGATGTAAATGGTGATGAAAGATTTCAGTATTACAGTATGTATGTATAGTATGTGCGTACATATGTTATGGGAATAATTTAGGTATGTATGCATGTACTAACTTAAATATACCCTACACTCAGTATAGAAGTTTGCCGGGAATTACAAATGTCAACATAAATGGTTTACTGTCGCCCTTTATTACAAGTCTCCATTAAATTTAAAATAGTGCTTATGTTTTTGTTAGGTATTGGTAACGAGCGTGTATGTATGTCACCAATAAACGTATAGAACTGTCCGCAGAATTAGGATATTACTCAATGTGTGAAGCCTTGAGTCTTAAATATTTATTTATTTCAATCAATTAAGCAGTGGAAAAAGCACAAAAAAATTACGAATTTTTTAGGTGCGGAATCATTTAAGAAAGCCCGTTGTGATATCAGCG